AGACAACTCACGGTTCTTGCACCATAACAATGCACCCGCACACTCAGCTTTGTCAATTCGTCAATTTTGAGCAGAAAATCAGATTACTGTACTCCCTCACCCTTACTCGCCCGAAATCTTGAGCAATTAGTTATTTTCTCAGTGCGAAATATTTTTAGTTAGGCAAAACTAAGTTTATAAAATCAACCTTTGGATCCATTCGGATCTTTCAGTTTTTTATAGGATTCTAAGTACCTACTTTCCAAGTTAGTATTGAATTACTTTTTATTTAATTAGGTCAAATGCCTATTTGTATAGAAGTTATTTTAGTTAAGTCTTAATTATATTTATTGTGTTTTATTTGGTAATATCAATTTACCACAAGTATTTTTTTTTGTTCGAAAACGGAAATACTGGAATGAAATTTCTGGACATATGAAAACTGCAATTGTGCATAAACCAATATAGTCACTGATAAAACTATGGATATTTCTGTATCTACTTGAATACAAAATTAAGAGTGCAAGGCCTAAGAGACTATTGACCTACTTGTTCAGATCTCGGTACAAAATTTTCTGTAATTCATGGAAAATTATGCATATTTTCGGAAGATAATGATCAAAATGGATTTTTTCATCTAACAAACCTCTGAAGGCTGAATTTTTAAGTCCGTTTATTGTACGTAACATTTGTAAAGCTATTTCCTATTGACGCCTTAGTTGCCAAACCAGTATAGTATATTTGCTCCATTTTTTATAAAACTTTCACTTAGTACGTGATATTAACTAGAATAAACTTCCTTATTTTGCTAGATAATATACAGTTTAGTTAGTTCGTTAGTTTATTAAGAAAGGGTTTTGACACTTTCACTAGTATTTATAATGCAAGATCATTCACTTTTATTTTCATAAGGATTTTATTGTGTCTTGTATCTGCTGGTTTAGAACCATCAACATTAAAAAAATAATGCATTGATTTTTTTTAGTTTTAAATTTATCCGAAGGTTTTAAGAAGCTTTGAGATTAAGTTATACTTAAAATCACTTTCATTAATAGGATATTCAAATTAAATGAAAAGTAAGTGGATGAATAAAACAATCCAATAGAAACTTAAGAATGTCAAAATATTGAAAAATTGTTAAATTTGCAAATTAAAGGATAAAATGTCTCATTCAAAAATTTTAAAAATAATTTAATTTCCAGTGAAATAGTAGGTATAAGTTTATTTTATTTCAATATTTATTATTTAATACGTAATACTTACCTTTGATCTAAAATTAATTTTAAAGTTATAGCAATTTTTGTCTTCTATTGTTTTTCGGATATTTTGAAATCCAGTGATTTTTCAAAAATTTGTACTACAAGAGTACTCAGAATTTAATGGTCTTTCTAGTCTTAGTCAACGAAAATTTGTTTGGAATTGCTGCATTATACCCGTTGCACAATAATTTTTAGAGAAATCCTCTTTTAATTTTCAAGATAAACAACAGAGGAGATTTAAACGAAACACAAAAGACATCGTTCAATGGAAAAGTTTTATATCATTTCATTATAATAATAATAGCGGAAAAATGAAGTCCCTTTTCTCAAAACCTTTTGAAAACCAAAACGGCTATAGCCGCTCTGAAAGCAGAATGGTCTAAGACTTTTTATTTAAATGTTTTTGTATCTCTTGTAATTTCCTAGTTCCATATAAATTTATGATTAAAATGTTCCCACCGGTAACTGTACTACTTTATGTGACCTATGTAGACAACTTTTTCGTAAATTTTTTAGACAGTGTTATTATTTCCTATTTGAATGTACTGTTTTTTGGAATTTTTTTATCGCTCAATTACTTTACATAAGATGTAGATGATTTACTGTAATGAGTAGGCTTTCAGCAAAAATTAACACAAATGAAGTAAAGATATACATAACAACTGAATTGTAATGGCATAACATTTAATTGATAATTTCTGCTGAATTGTAAACTGCTTTAAGAATTAGCATTTATTTCTAAAATATGTCCCAGTTTGAGAGTATTAGTAAAACGTTTTCATTGAATTTTATGGATTAATTTATTAAGTAACAGAAACAGAATATTGTCTAATAAATATCATCAGAGTTAGCTAGTGGAATATAAACATGTGGTTTTGTTGATTACACAATTTACAGTTTACTGTTAAATGCAGATATTTAATCCTATGCAAGCAACTTGATGTGCTTAGGTAGGTAGGTACATTGTAGCGTGTCCATAAAGTAATGAAATGTATGTACGGAATATGTATAATATAACTGAAATTACTATTTCAGATACAAAACAAACTTTTTTTCTTAATGGAACAGCTTTAGTGAAGTTTAGGTACTAAGACAAGAAATTTGAAAGAGGTACGATGTTATGGCATATTGGCATATAGGTACGATACTAAAGATAATGATCATTCTTGACAAATACGGCACAAACTAGATGTTAGCAGAACAGCTAATAATGAGAAAACGGGACATTATAACGCAGGATCTTAATGTAAACTAAAGATAAAACAGCTATGTTTCAATAAATTTTACACAATTATTTCTTTGGTCAGAATAAATGAAAAAAAAACAGGACTGACTTTTTCGTAAATAATTGTTAGGTGCTCTACAAACCTTTAAAGGTATGATGTGAAACTCAATATCTAATCATGGTACTCAAGTATAATTATTGAAGATAGTGACTTCAAACGTGGTATAGTGCATTTTTTTAGTATAAATTTTATATTTTATTTATATGTAGGTATATAACATATAAAATTGGACCAAAATTTATTTAAAACTGCCAAAGGCATCAGCTGCAGAAAAATGTTTCTACTAATTGAGAGAATAATATTTTTTGTGAAAACCACAAGTCCAAAAATTGTTTTAACTTGCACTGTGAGAAAAGGATTATAGATGAAAGCAACTTGCAAGGATGTGATTATGCAGATATTCAATCTAACCACTCTTCATTAAAATAAGAGAGAATTTATGCAGGTTTATACATTTTAGCTTTTTTATTCATTATAAAAAAATGAATTCGGAAATTGTAACTATTAACTACAATTTTTTAACAAGTGCTCAACAATATGGCATATTGTTTAATTGTTGAAAAACACTCTCAAACTCCTTCTGATTCCGACGCAACTCAAATGTTATTCAATAAATAGGTCAATACTATGTGATGAAGCTACCCTGTTCCGAGTTTGAATTTTATATTTTCTTTAATAAAATTAATAAAAATAAAAGAAAAAACTGCTCGATGTATCATTTTTGAAGGATCGTAAAAACCTTAGAATCTTTTTAAGATAGACACTGATTTTATTTTTTATTTAAATTCTTATTTACCGTAATATCGAATCAAGATATTATAAAGAAATTTTCCACATAATTTTTAAATTTCAATTCATATATTTTTGCGATAACTTCTAAATTTTTTTACGTACAATGCAGAAGCAATTTTAGTTTTTTTATAGACATGAAAGGTTCAAAAAAGGTCAGTTAAATTTTTTTTAATCTAAAGTCGTAGTTGGTTTTAGTCTGTGCAAGTCACAAATATAAGATTACTTACATTGTCATATATATATCTTTAAAGATGTCTATGGACAATTACTTATAATTATTGGCTTTGGCAAATTAATAGCAATATAAACTATTTAATTATTCTTCATGACCATTTACCTACTAACAAGTAAAAGTAAATAAGTTTATCCTGCATTTCTCCTAACCACCATTAATGTTTTATGATATATTTTTTTCAAATGGCTACGGGTTTAGTTGGAAATACACTACATTGTTATTTGAACTATATAAATTTAGTTTAACGGAGACCAGTCAACCTAATATTTTGAAATTTCCCTTGACAACAAAACTATAGTTTTAAATAAAAGTTTCAACGAATTACGGTGTGTTTAATAATAATTACTGTATGTAAAGAGCTCTAAACTGCAAGTTATCATAAATAAATAAAGATTTTTGTATGGAAAGGTAGTTACATTGTAAGCTACCTATGTTATTATACTTGTTATTTTTACTAATCAACCCAAACGAAATATAGTACTTATTACTATAAAAGTTATGAAAATAACGGTTTACATTTCAACACATCTCCACTTTAATAATTTATGCTAAATAAATAATATCTATAAAAAGGTTAATCAAATCATCTTAATATAATTGATTATAATCATATTTATTTGTGTATATTAAAGATAATAGTCCTTATTTACTTTCTTTACCATCAATTTACAGAAAATGGTGGCAACTATTATTCTTAAAATTCTGTAAATGGAAAGTTAAAATAAAATGCAATGCAAAAGGATCCCTTTTTAAAAATATGAAATTAACTTACTTTCAGATTAAATTAAACTTGTAAAAAATATAGAAAACTATTCTCCTTACCATTGTTTGGTAAACTTTTCTTGATGAATGAGGTGTATTAAGTATAATTACGGTAAGCCAAAAAATATGTGCTTAGTTTTAACACAGGAAATGATACGAGAGAAAAACATTTTTTAATAACAATGATTATGTTACAACGTTAATTTATTAAATATAAATACCACAATAAAATATGTACATGTTTTAGATACGAAAAAAACTATTACTCAATCAATTTTCGTTGCTTAAATAAGCAATGTTGTAAACTCAATGTAATAATCAATCAAAATCATACAAAAAAGTACTTAGATATAAAATTATGCAATAATAATAATGTCAGTTATGTTGCAATACTTCCTCAACATCAACCAGTAATTTAAACACTGTTTGTTTTGAACAATATGGAGTATTATTGTGAAGAAAATGTTCAAAGCTGTGTATACTTTAAATCAAATGTAATCAAATCAAAGTACTTTTTTCTAGGCTTTAAATCAATCTGACATCTATTTGATTACCTAATCTGATCGCCACTGATTATTTTGTACGAAATATTACTTGAACAGAACATAGATCGATTCATTTTACATTTCAAATGCTATGTATTGCAATACGAATACTCTAGTAGGTATAAATGGTAGTGGTACTTACCCCTTTGAAGTCAAACAGTGCTAACTACATCAACAGTTCTTAGGCGGCCTATCAAAATCACTAAGTAAAAACAGAACAATGCAACAAATAGTTTATGAACAGATTTGAAAGAAAAATCCTGAACTTCACAGTCCAACCGGTCACAATCGAAAACGCACAACTTAGGCTAATAAACAAAAGATAAGTCAGCGCGGAGCTTTCGCGGAGCTTTCAGCGCTTGTTAGGACTTACTACTGAGGACTGTGACTTTGATGAGTTTTTGCTCCGCCTTAGAAGTGGGAGGGAGCTCATTCGCCTCCCAAAACAGCATTTCTTTATCTTATTACCATAAATTTGTGGTTGATTCTAGATATCCTGAATTAAACAGGTCTGATATGTTTTGCATATTCTGCTTTGGAAGTTTAATTCTTTAGTTTTAAGGCTTCTATAATTTACGTGTGGATGCTTCAACAATTTTTTCCATTCAGTAGAGACAGATTTTAAAGTTATTTAAGTTTTGGATAAAAACATTTTTATCTGGAACTAGAAACCTAGGTAGTGGAAAATACAATTAATTAGGTAGAATCATTCTTAACTTACATACTTTTTTGTAATCAAAATTATTTTTATCAAATTTATTACGAAGTTTAATCCGTCAAATGATGTAAATTATTATCAGTTAGTTCTTATCATTATGGAACATCCCAATAGTCAAAAGTCGTGCAGTAACGGAAACCGAGATATTTTCTATGTAAATACTGGCTAGTAGCAAAATATCAGTTACATAAAAACAATATCATAGAGATATAACGTTAGGACGTCCAAAATATATTTCAAACAATCATTTCTTTAAAAACTTTATTGGATTAAACTTGTAACGTGGTAATCAGAGACGCAATGTGTTTCGTGATGTATCAAAAAATTTTATAATTTGTAGTCTACGTTTACAGGAATTACGTACTTAAGTATAATTTAGTTACCTTTAACTTTTGTTGCACAGGATATTTAGATTTGGAGCAACATTCCTTGCAAATAAAATATTTTGCTTAATACCTACCGACTTACCACAATAATACGAATAAACATTTTTGGAATTACATGAAAAGTGTTTTAGTTATCTTTATTTAAACGTTTTTCCCCAATATTTTGCATGAAATTTAATAGATTAAATACGTTTCCGTAATGAAATCTAAAGTAGAACTGATGATAACCTGAAAAGCAGTTTTCTGTTTACAACAAGAAATGGGACAAAAAAGCCACTGACGCGCTATCTACGGCCACAACTATTCACCTTTTTTATGCAGGGGGCGATTCCAGAGAGTGTCAATAGGTTTTAACAATTTTGGGGCACCGTTTCAACATATTACTAGAAACGCTTATTATTAATGTAGTCTACTTACCATTACAAAATGCTCTCCGAGTTTGTAAACATCCTATTTTGTCTTTTTCACGATCTACAGAAGAATATATCTGAAGAGGACAAACTTGACGAGACAACGGAACAAGATCTGGCAAACGTTAAAACTCAAAATTGAAACACTGAACATTTTCTGCAGAAACGAGATCGGTGCGCTTCCACAGAATTATTAAAATTGGCTTAGATTCTTACGTTGACAAAAATTATGCTATTCACGTTTAGAGTTGCCATTGATTAAATTATGTATTCCACTATTATGAAACTTAATAGAATTTGTTTTAAGATGACATGAGCATAAAAGCCTATCGGTTCAGAGAGCTGCATTTAAATCATTGTTCTAATCCCATAACAAAAGCGCCTAGGAAGCGTGGCCTGATTTTGACTTACGAGTAAAGGGTTCTTCTAAATAAGCATAAAGTCTAAAAATACCTATATACACTTGATATATTAATGTTACGAGAAGAAAGAGTAAGTGTATTAAAACGTATCAGTTAAATAAACAAAAAAAAAGTCGGCTACTCATTCGGCTAAGAGGATAATTGCCTCTAGGTGCCAAGTCTCTAACCAATGGGAATGGACCATAAAAGGTAGGACATTCAAAGTCTTAAGTGTAGATATATTTTAAATATGTATTTAAAATAGGGTGCCAATATTGTAACAATACAGGGTGTCCGGTAAGTACCTCCTAATCTCTCGGGAGTGTATAGGGGAGGTCAAAATAAAACTAGTCCTTCCTATAATTTTTTTTCCTAATGTGCCCCCTAACGGAGTTATGGGGGGTCAAAGGGGTACCTAGAAATTAACGTTTAGGGTTATAACTTTGAAACCACCCTGTATATTTTAATAAAATTTTCGTACGTTGTATTACACATGGAGCTCTACGATTTGATGCTAAAATCAACTTTTTGCTATTATCAGGTGTCCAGAAACGGACTGGCCCTATCACAATTTTTCTCAAAATTTTGACAGAAGTAATTTTATCAAACTGAAAATATTATTATTAGATACTCTGAAGGTTTTTCTTTNTTCTGCACGGCACTGGAAACTGGTCCACTGTAAAACCTGACCTGGCACAATGCGACCGTCAAGGCGGCAGTGATAAAAACGGGCAAAAACTTGAAAGAATTTCGCAAGGAAAAGAATAAATAGAATTTTATAGCACCTACTTTATATCAGCAAATTTAACTGATTTTACCGCTATTGTTATTATTAATTAATAAAATTAATTTGTGGTTTTAATAAAATAATTTGACATACCTACCTGATGTCACAATAACTGTTCAAAATTTTGTCCACCGACGTGTAAACACATTTGGGTCCGTCTTAATCAGTTTCTACGAACTAACACAAATTCTGTCTTGTTTCACCATAACACAAATACTTCACCATAATACAAATGATTTCTTGCTTCACCATAAACTAAAACAATATCCATCAACTCTGAGTTGCTATACACGCAAGCCATTTTTGACACTAACTACTAAAAAACTATTATAAACATCGGATTTCAGTATTCGGAGTCGCTGAGGCGACGTGGCTCTCCAGGCGTATTACGAATGATACTAGAGACTACAGTTGTCCAACTATGTAATGGTTGAACGCACTACAACTTCAATAATTTTTTTCTCGGAAACTATTTTACAAATTTTTTTTACGATATTGACTCCATTTCTCATGCCGCATCTATACCCAAATGAGCGCATGTACCAGCCAATGTGGGTGTATACTCATTTGTTGCACTGTGTTTCAAACTTGGCTGGTGCAGCCTGGCGGGTCCAGACTCAGTGAAGTGCGGCCTTAAAGGCCGAATTTCACTGAGGCTGGTCCAGCCAAGTCTGGAACGTAGTGCAACAAATGAGTACCTATACACTCATATTGGGCTGGTATACAGGTCTGTTATTTTCAAGCGCGATTGTAGGTACAGCCTGGCAATCGCGCTTGAAAATAACAGCCCTGTATACCAGCCCAAAATGAATGTATACTCATTTGCTGCACTACGTTTTGGACCCGCCAGGCTGCACCAGCCTGAATGGTCATGCATCAGTGAATTTCAGCCTTTAGTATATTCTGAACTTTTTGGGTATTAAATAAAAAAAATGTCAATTGTTAATACCTTTCTTTAAAATGTACATTTTAGCAAGTTACCTTATATGTACCAATATAAAGAGTAATTACTTTAGAAAACACACAATGTCAATTGGAAGTTATATGTACAGTCGCCATCTTTTTCCAAAGCTTTAACGAACTATTTCATGAAACCAAGTTTAATATGGAGAGGTGGAAGTATCAAATAAGGGTTCGAGGATGATGTCTATCAATCTTGGCTGGAAATATGTTTTTTTTTTGGCTATAGTTTCTGTTCATAGTGATTCTTTCTATTTCTAATAGCCCATAGATATAAGAAACAAGTATCAAAGATGAAGTTGGCCTTCCTCTTGTTTTGAAAAATATAATTTTCCTTATTTTCTGCAATGCGTTTTTCCTGATTTAAAAAAATGGAGGGTAATGGAAAAATTGTGGATTCGGATTCGGATTCAGCACATAAAATAAGGATACATGGGCAAAGTTTTCGCGATATACCACTTTTCTCTTTTTATAGGACTGTGTTGTCAATGTTTAACAATAAATAAAAATACATGATAATGGCGGATTCCGTTACACCAATTTTCGACAAAAATTTGATATGAACAAATATGTGTCCGAAAATGCTTCTTCCCAGTATAAGTTGTTTAAAATTAATTAAAATCCGGTTTATTTTGAGTTGCAAAAAAAACGGTGAGAAAACCATGTAAATAAACTTGATAATATGTGAACTGTTTTTGTTAATTTGTGATCTATAACCACTATTAATGTTTAGCCAAGTATTTTGTGTGAATAAACCGAATTATATCAAATTANCTTTGACCCCCCATAACTCCGTTAGGGGGCACATTAGGAAAAAAATTATAGGAAGGACTAGTTTTATTTTGACCTCCCCTATACACTCCCGAGAGATTAGGAGGTACTTACCGGACACCCTGTATAGATAAAAAATTATTACTGCAATATTGACTACATTGCATTTTATTTGGGAGTGATTGTGCTGAGAGGATACTCTCTATAGATTGTTCCTACGTGGAATCAATAGCGTAAGAAAACTAAAAATATATTTTTTCAGTATTAAGGCATTAAGGCTATATGCATATGTGCACCTGTAATACCTGCTGCGGTTTTTATTAAATTTGTGCTATCACTGTTTAAAATTTGATAGTAAAGGAAAAATAACATTGAATATCCATCTACTTTATTATATATCTCTATCACTACATAGAATAAGAAATTTTCTTAATGAATTGAGTCTATCCTCAAGTGAAAGTTTTTACTTTTTCGTTAATTCGATAGTTCAATAACTATTTAATGATTGGTATACATTTTTTCATACTGGTACGTTTTGACGAATGAGCACCTACACTAGCCTGGTTGGTCCAGATTCAGTGAAATACGGCCTTAAAGGTTGAATTTCACTGAGGCTGGTTCAGCCAGGCTAGTGCAATCTGGCGGGTCCAGCCAAGTATGGAACGTAGTGCAACAAATGAGTATTCACTCATACTGGGCTGGTATGCAGGGCTCTTATTATAAGTTTATTAGTTATCTCTCTCTTAAAATTAAAATGTTAAATTTAGGAATTTCTGAATTAAAACACAATTAAATTAAAAGAACAACCAATGGAATATAAACATTATTTTCATTACTTTTTGTTAAGTTGTTAAATTGTTCAATATTTAAACTAGCGAACGAAGAAATATTTTTTCGTTTTTTCCTTATAATTTTTT